AGAGGTTTCACTGGTCTATAATTTGCACACTCCCTTCTTTAGGATTGCCTATGGAATAAAATGCAAGTGCCTCATTTGACATTTAAAGCCAAAATCAATCTAGCCACCTCCAAATGGTCTTTATAGACTTAATTCGCATGACTCCCTCTCATACACTATACATTCTAGTTGTTATGTTTTACCCATACATGACATTCCATCTTCTGGCCTTACATAAGTGGTTACACATACCTATAATGATACCTACATCCTCACTTTTGTTGCTTGGAACTCTCAACAGTTCACCTTAAATACCATCTCTCATATAAGCTCTTTCTTGACACCTCCAACTATTAAGTGATCTCTCCCTGAAATGACTTTGTATTTGCTGTGAAGATATTTTATATTTTTTTTCTTTCTGGATACATGTAAGCTCCTTAAGGACAAAGACTATTTGATTTTTGTCTTTATGTCCTCAGCAAAATAACTGATGCACAATAAACACTCATAAAAGCTTATTGGATTGAACTGAATGGAATTCCATTCCATATTCACCCTGTTCCACAGTGCTTCATCCCAGCTTGCCCAAGTCCCTCCTAAATTGTAACTGAGGGACTGGACATAATATTCCAGATGTAGTCTGATGAGTCCAGAGGATAGTAGGACTATGATTTCTAACTTTCTGCATATTAAAATTGTCTTTGTGCATCCTAAAATTGCATGATATTTTTCTACCATCCTGTGTCATTGACATTGAGCTTGTCATTCATATTGAGGTTGAAGTTTATGAGAACCCCCACAGAATGCTGTCTAGCCACATCTCCTCCATCCTGTGCTCATAGAGTTGATTTTTTAAAAATCTAATTACAGAATCATATGCTCATCTTCACTAAATTTCATTTTGTTAAGTATACTCCATATGTCAATGTTGAGTCCTTACTAGATCCTGATTCTTTGCAACATGGTTAGCTACCTAACCTGTCAACTTTGTGTCATCTATATATTTGCTTGCTTTTACCTATGTCTTCATCCAAGTCATTGTTAAATATGTTGAACCAAACAACACCAAGGTCAGAGCTTGGTGATTGGCACTGATTGAAAACAATTAAGAAAACTAGGGGCAGCTAGGTGGCACAGTGGATAAAGCTCTGATCTTGGAGTCAGAAGGACCTGAGTTCAAATCTGGACTCCAACACTTAACACTTACTAGCTGTGTGACCCT